CCGACTTATGAGAACCCCGTATATGAAAGTTTGCACCTGCTGCTTTGTTCATTTGAAGCATATTTTGGGTAATGTTGTCAGTCTTAACTTAATTCATGAACCCGTTTATCCTGTACCTCAGCTAGTTTTGCTATAACGTGCGCAGATGTCTAGAAATCATCGGACGCGGTTTTAGAAACACTGGTCCAATGATGGGGAATGGTAAACCCCTAAGGGTGCTTTTTTCTATGAAGGCAAAGAATTCTACTAGAGGTGTTGAATTGTGCCTATATCGGGGACTATGTGAGAGATAGGGCGGGTTAGAAAAGAAAACCTAATCCTACCGACCACGAGGATGGAAGGTTATGATGTCGCATTCATCCAGGATAACTGACGCGACAGTGGTGGGAGTTGGGAAGCACCTGGAATCGCTTGCATTGCAATTTGAAGTAGCAGTCGATGGGGGCACGGTCACGTTGAAGCAGATTTAAATCGAGGCAGATGGCGAACGTACAATTCGGACTCGGAGTCGGACTTGTTTGACAGGTTGTCAGCAGAACATGATTTGTGATTTTTTTTTCGATCTCTTCAAAGAGCATCTTTGAAATTCACCATTGCCAGGAGTCAGACGATCGGCAGCGGACAGTTCCTGAGTTTGCTGTTACTTGGAAAGTTTTACGAAATAGGTATATGGTTGGAACAAGGCGGTCTTGATTTTGTTCTGAAGACAGTGTAGTCGACGACGCTGGGAGCGTAGGCGAGGCGAGACTAAGGCGGATTCGTGCCGGAGACTCTATGAGGGGCTCCAACGATGTGGGGTGAGAGGCGACAATTGGGACTGGCTAGGCTAGAGCTGACTGATATAAAAAACTGGGGTCATTGGAAGGAAGGATTACATGTCGGCGTCAGCGTCGACAGTGCTCTCGCGCCGGTCATTCGTGGGATGGACCTATCAGCTATCATGAACTTCAGGGTATGGCGCGGTCATCTTTAATGCGAGTAAACGAGAACAAGTTGAGGAGGAGAGAATACATACCATCGAGTATCATTCGTTCACATTTATCGTAAAAGCTCGAAGAATAATGGGTCGCTTGAAAAGCTTGATGGATGAGAGAGCGTATAGGAAGCTTTGAATCACAGGTCGAGCTAAGCACCATTCCATAACTAAGGGGTAGTGATCAGCCAACAAGTAGAATATCTCGCAAGCCTCTGACTTACGAGAATCTCCAGCATCCCCAATACTGAAGTTTGACTTGACCGGCTGCATCGTTCATCCGAAGCAGATGTCGGACAATGTTGTCGGTACTAGTAATATATAATTCATAAATGCTTTGTCCTGGTCCTCCGTTACGGCCTGCATGAATGCCCCACAAACACGAGGAATTGTCGGATGTCATATGTTGAAAACCTGTGGTCCAATGATCGACAGTGGCAAGCCATTGGGAGTGCTTTTCTTTGTAGCCCCTCCCTAACCCTCATGATGTCGCATTCGTTCCCGATAACTGACGCAAGTAATGTACCAATGGAAATAAGAGTACCAGCTTGGTGGTTCTAGGGCCTCCCAAAATCAACAGTATAGCGCCTTTGTATTCCGTTTGTGATAACGGGGAAAGCTTGATGAGCGCAAGAACAGCCTTGATTGCTATCTTCCATCTGAGTAATGACTGGGTGCCTGGAAAGTCGGGCAGAAATATAGCCGGTTGGTGATATCCTTAAAGCAATGTAGCGCTGAGTAAGTTGGCCACCCGGGATAATGGTGGCGGGATGAGAAGTAATATTTACTTCTAGGCTATGGTTATCACCGTCAGATGCAGCTACATGGTAGTATCCATGTAGTATGCAACTAACTCGTTGAGGACTTCATACGAGTGCGGAATACAGATTTTGATTTCATTGTGATGACGGCCACTGATCTAGTTGGTAAATTTCCCATGAGCTGGCTTCTGTGCAAAAGCATGGATCGATGATGGATATACGGTCATGTTCTGGCTCGTCATAAGCGGCTTAGTAAAGTGTGTTGTTCATAGAGTTCCAGCCTGGTTAGAAGGGTATGAACATAGAGATGCGACTTGCGAAAACAAGGTGCTGTCTGGCCTTTAAACCATGTCAGCAATGTCGGAGAAGGGGATAGATGATATTCCGTTACGCCAAGGGAGAATGATTACCGACATTGTGACTGTCGTTGGATTGAAGTGTGTTGCTCGGTGTAGAGGCTGATACGCAGGTTTGATTCGTATAAAGAAAACACTAGGGTGAGTGTACCAGGTGTGGTCCATTCGTGTGCCGCTTGAAGTATAAAGCCGAGTCGTGGAATAACCCGGAGGGAGGAGAGTAACGTAATGTTGTTGTACAGACCAGAGAGCGAGAGACAGAGCGACGCTTCACCCTCGGCACGGTACTAAGAAAAAGTACCATGGATATGTTGAGATACCTGGAATGCGTTGATCGTCGTAATTTCGAATGTTGATTGTCAGAAATGTAAACCCCTGTTAGATCAACTGAAAACAATGGACAGATGCTATTACGCGGTTGGGTACTTGGAGAAATTGTTAGACTACCTGGAGTCGCCAGCTTCACTGGGTGCTCCTGTTTCCTGAACTGAGCAATGAGAAGATACGCCGAGTCGGGTGAACGGCTTTGCAGATGGAGGTGCAGCTTCTTCACCACCAAAAAAATGCGAACGAACTTCATCAAGCGGCGGCAGGAGGCGTCGTTGTCGCCACAAAAAACAAGAAGTAAGTCCGCCTCAGCACACTGTGGTTGTCCAGGGAGTATGGGTCGGCGGGTGAACTATAGCATTTTTATTATTATTCTGTGCAGCCGAGCTATAATCGGGCAGTGAGCATGATATCCCACCCTATGTAGCAGATGTGGGCTAGGAACCAGTGGGGCAGTCTGAGAGAGCTGAGGATGTCGAGCTGGTCCTGGGTGGGAAGGTGAAGAGATCCGAAGGATTTCACGGCTGCAACAAATGTCGACCATCCGAAATTCTGCGAGTGCTTATTCTGGTGACGCATCGAATTCGATAGTCACTATACATGGGCTTGATATTTGATCTTTACTAAAGAGGGGAGGGTGGTGCAGCAGGCTAAACAACCACCGGCTTCATTCCAGCGCACTTGAACGACATATTTTCTTGTGATTTGATATATGGGCATTGAGAAAGGTTGTGAGTGAGCTGTATGATTTTCAGACCCGCGCGGGGTGACACTGGTCATTGTCGGCAGTACGAAGTCGGCCCGACCGGAGTTATGTTCAGGACCACATGAATAGATGTTCCCACGATTCCTTGTTTGTGGACCATGATCGTGGTTTCGATTGAGGCTCTTTTCCACATCGCCAGACCCTTTTATATGCGCCCCTAGAGGACCGTTATCTGATACTACTTGTGGAAGGGTGGCATTTGGAAGAGGATAGAGAGGAACGACGCGAAGATACGACTTGAAAATGTAGTTTTGAAGCGTGAAAGGTACACGACGTGTCCTGTTGTTGTATTCGTTTCTTGATCTACTTGATAGTGCGGTGGGTGCTCCTCGAAGTCGTTAATGACGGGCACAAATCAGAGTGAAGAACCGTCCGTAGCGGAGTCAGCATATCCGAGACGGACGTTCAGGTGCGGCATGGGCGCTGCCAGCAACTTATTAGTGCCGGACGTTGGTCACGTCTCCGATAGTTCGTGGGCTCTGGATGCAAGATGGCGACGTCAAAAACGTTTGATTTGTCTGACTCCGGCATGAGGCTCCGGTGTATCGACCCTCCTTGGGATGCTCGTGCGTGAATTTTTGCTCAATCATACCATTCTATTCTTACAACTCTTGGCTAGGACAGGCAGCATTCAGCTTCATGAACAACCCTCAGGAATATCAAGTCCTCACATTGATGCGACTCGGAGTACCGGAGCGACCATGCGGCACGAGTCCATGAACACATGCTCGCCATCACCACCTTCCTCCTTCCTCACTCCCAGCATGGTGCAAGAACTCGCAGCAATATACCACCCCACCTTCAATACCCCAGACGCCGATGCCATCCTATCGGCACTCGACAACACCCTCTACCGTCTCCCCTCCTCAGTCCTGCGCCGCACCGCCACCTTCTTCGCGTCCCCGTCTTTCACGTTCGAACCTTCCAGCAAGCCCATACCCATCCACGAACACAACCCCGTCCTCGAGCGGCTCCTGCAGATCCTCAGCGGCCTGGCGATCCCTCCGTGGCGCACGTTTGATGACCTCGAGGGTGTGCTAGGCCTCGCTGAGACATGGGGAGCGAAGGGAGCAGTGGATGTCGTGCGTGGGGCGCTCACTGCACCAGTGTTCCTAAGGGAGCCGCTGAGGGTGTATGTGATAGCGACGCGGTTCGGGTGGGACGAGGAAGCGGAGCTCGCATCGAAGCATACACTTGAATTGTCCCTGCATGAGGAGCGGCACCAGGAAGTGCTGCGGCGGATCCCGACGCGCGCGCTGGTGAAGCTGTTCAAGTTCCACCGGAAGCGGCGGGATGCGTTCCGTGCTGGGATGGCGGGCAAGGGCGAAGGGACGAGATGTGCGGGGTGTGGGAAGGCGGTGGGTGGAGCGGGGTGGGCGGCGCTGGTGTGGAGGATGTTCTGGGAGATGGACACGTGGCCGTCGGGGGAGGGGCTGTGTTCGTTGGAGGTGGAGGAGATGGAGAGGTGTTTGGGGGAGAGGTGTGTGGGGTGTGGGAGGGCGGTGTATGAGCGGTTGGAGGTGCTGGAGAGAGTGAGGAAGTGTTTGGATGGGTTGCCAGATATGGTGTGATGTTTTCTCTTGTTGGAACGATGTATGTCAATCCTGATTGTATCCGTATTCTGTCTAAGCTGGTTCGTGAAACATTGTTCTAGCGAGACACGGACTATAAGCAACACCGTGATAAGCGCACGAGCGTCTATGTATTTTTATTATACTTGGGCAATGTCAGCTTCCTCTTCATATGTCGGATATAACACCTTGTTTTCACTTCAGTCTCATCCTGTGGTATGTATAAATACCTAACACCTCTGTTAAGCATCAGTAGTGTAATGGTTGATATGTAGTCCCGAGCACATATCGGTCACGTTCGGGGTTCGAACCCCCATTGGTGCATCCCCCAAAGGAAGGCAAGTTTTTTCAAATTCCCCGGATGTTGCTGACACTCCCGTATCATGCGTGCGCTAGGGCTGCGCACGAAACCTCCAGGGGGGGTTTGATACCGTTTTGTACCCCTCCTACCTGGGAGGTTTCTTACCGGTACGGTAATTTACAGTTTCTTACCGGTCATGTGACTATGCATGTGACTACCACGGAGTCATTTTTCCAAATTCTTCTCTACAACGCCGTGATGCTACGCTGCCCCATTGTCGTACCTCAAATACTTATGAATTGTCCCAATACCCATCGGAACACTCTGGCTACATCTTCTTACTTATTACTGCTCTGCGAAATGAAATCATAAAAAGATGGGTGGTAATATTGTCACGTGGTCGGTAAGTTACCTCAATGAAATATGCTCCACTGACCTGTGGTTTCTTACCAGTTTCTTACTGATAACTTACCAGTCCGAAACCGGGGTGTATCAAAACTGGGGGTTTTGTGCACAACCCTAGCCTGCACATGAAACCTCCAGGGGCAATTGATACTGTTTTGTACCCAACCTGCCTGGGGGGCTTCTTACCGGTACGGTAATTTACAGTACCTACTGGTTATGTGACCAGTGACGTGACCATCGCAGAGTCATTTTTCCAATTCACATGTGCACCAGACCCTTTCTTCCTGCCTACTCATGGTTCTACTGGTATCTCTGACACTATGGGGGTTGTACCACCAGCTAGCCCTTTAAAATGTTGAGTTAATGCTGAGGCGGTGGTTTTTTTTGTAGGGGTATGATTGCAGCTGTTTTTGTGAATAAACTTTATTTTTTCTCACCAATTCCTGCAAGTGTTTTGAGTGATGTAAAGGATGACCAATTATTATCACATGTCAGAATTTATGCACTGAGGAAATTATGAACAGAATTGGTCTGGGAAAGGTAATTTCATCATGAGCAATTTTAAACATGTTCATTACTCATGACTAAAATACTATTTCCAGACCAATTCTGTTCATAATTTCCTCAGTGCATAAATTCTGACATGTGATAATAATTGGTCATCCTTTAAATCACTCAAAACACTTGCGGGAATTGGTGAAAAAAAATAAAGTTTATTCACAAAAACAGCTGCAATCATACCCCTACAAAAAAAACCACTGCCTCAGCATTAACTCAGCATTTTAAAGAGCTAGCTGGTGGTACAACCCCCATAGTGTGATCTCGCTGGGTTCCCGTATGATACCAGAATTAATCAGTTTCATGAAAGAAGCATCCCTGCACTTGAGGTACGTGCATGCATCTGTATGAGTTTCGTGATTGTGTGGTAACTTCATTCCGGGCTAGGATCTCAGTGTATGCCCGGTAATAGCATACAAAAATCATGACTGGTCACAACTTGAAGCTGGGGTATTTCGTGACTAATGCACAATGACGCGATGGGTGTCCCCCCCACCTTCATTCACCACCCAAGTTTATGCCATATGGGATTATGTCAGTACCTCAGTGCAAGCTCGGATGCTTCTCCTATCTTTGCGAGTCCTGGCCTAGTGCAATAGGTCTTTGCAGGAAGATTCACGTACCATGAATGTGTATGTGGGTTGACATGATCAGTGCCAGCATTCTGGAGAGATCAACCTGTCTTTGATGATATATGCGAGTTTTCAAAGTCTGATCACAGAGATTGGATAGAGTGATCAAGCGCCCTGTATCAGGGGCAGTGTTGCTGAATGATCATGATACGCACGGGTCCTGGGATGTGTGGGTTGGGGGTGTATGCTAGTGAGTGAGTGAGTGTATGGATGGATGGCCTGGTTGGTTATCCATACATACAAACAAACGTCCTCCTTGTCGTATCCCATGAACCTGTGTCGGAGGATAGAATGAGAACATTGAACTGAATAGAATGGAGGCTGGATGTATCTACCTGATACTGGGGAGGAGGGTATTGTAGTGGCGGGTAGGATATGGGTACAATTGTTTGGGACATCTCAAATAGGATTGGATTGGGTCGTATTGATCCACTCATGATGTAAGAATCGAGCGTCGGTCATTCGCGATACGTGAATTGAGCCATGGAAGTGCAGGTATTGGATAGGTGAGGTCTGAAGATACTAGTGTGTGTGAAGTACGGACTTGTCTTCACGTTGATGCCTCGACTGGGAGTACCAGCATGAGCATGCGGCAGCCAGCTCATCCTACTTGAAGCCTTCATGAGGTTGTCACTACTTTCTTTGTTCAGCACACGTCTCAAGCACTTGGTGCAGGATATCACCATACCTTCAACGCTCCAGATGCCGATGCCATGTTATCCTCCCTCGACGGCACACTATACTGTCTCCCATCATCAGTCTTCGTAATGATTGTCTCTCAATGAGCAGCAGCTCCAGGCCGCACATTCGCAGATCTTGACGAGCTTGCTCATGAAGCCTTCCAACCTTCGACAGATCTGGCATGATGAGTTGGAGGAGGGCATGGAGTTGATCGTGAGGTGCAGAGTGTGGTAATTTGGTCTATGGGTAAGCATGGTAAATGTTTTCGATTATGGATCAGATTCGTAATTTTCCGTTAAAAATTGCATGGGAAATTAGACTCACAGTTCTGCACTGAATCACTGTCTATTGAATGATGGTGATAAGTGGTGATAACCTGAGATGTCACGTCCACGTGGTGTCACTCACTCGTGTACATATAAGTCGATGTCGCATGTTGAACAGCCTTCCCATTGATCTCATCCGATCCTAGATTCCACTCACGGTGAATTTACTTCTCTTAATAATTTCTATCTCTCAGTCTTTATGACAGATCTATCCAGGATCCATGGCCTACATACAAACTAAAAAATCGGATTTTGACCCAAGGCTGGCACATATGCTCCCTGATTATTCCCATGCACCTCCCGACGCCCGAATCATCCATCTCCTACACACCAATGCTCCACCAACTCCCATTGAGATGCAAAGTCTGCAAGCTACCCTTTCCGAAACACCTCATCGTATAGCAGAGCTTGATTCCCTCATCAATTCCACCACATCGCTTCTACGCTACCTGACTAATGATCGAAACCAAGCCCTAGAAAACCAAGCTAATGCCAAAACAATCCTTTCTCCATGTCATCGACTTCCAAACGAATTGTTGACCAATATATTTATACGCTGTTTGTCTGCACGTGATCAACTTGATTCTCCTTCGGATCCTGGTGCATTCCATTGGACATTGTCGCACGTTTGCAGGAAATGGAGGGAGGTCGCCATCGGTACCCCAGAAATATGGTCCCATATTCATTTGAGTTTCTTGTATGATCGGTTCTTCAATGGCAGCCGCATACATGAAGCAGCATTTATGCTTGGTGTCATCCTTGATCGAGCCCGTCCCCACAATCTCGATGTTTTCATTCTGCTTAAGGACAACATATCTACACACCCCGTTTGTGCGGTCCTTCTTACTACTGTTCGGTATTGGAAATCCTTGAAGGTCTACGGCAATCCCGACTTCCTGTCCCCTTGCCATGGGTTTTTTGACAGGCTTGAAACAGTCATCTTGTCAGGTGACGTTCATGTGGGACCACAGGCCGTAGACACATTTGTCGTTGCTCCACGTCTATGCTCTTTTAGAACGATATGGGACCTCCCATTTTTGCTCCCAGCTAATCTCGTCGAATTCCACGATTCTAATCCATTCAATGAAAATGCATGCACTACCCTCTGTCACCTTGGCAATATCCGAAGCCTGTCACTCACGTGTAGCGCGTATTCGAGCGAATCACCTCGAATTTGCCTCCCGAGGGTGTCCCAGCTCGAACTAAAAATGAATGCACTGGCTGTAAGCACCGCATCTGTGACATACAATCACTTTGACCTGCCATCTCTCACACACCTCAAGATTCTGGCCATTCCTTTAGGGAAACCGATGGTCTCCCGACAAGCCCATCAGCCAATACGCTCGTCTACAGTAACCCACCTTACTTTGTCATGGAGCCCGATGAGCTGTTACGATTCCTCCATGGATCTTGCGCTCGAACATTCATATAGCACACTGACAAACGTCCGGTGTCTTACCGTCAAGGAGTGGCCAAAGATGGACGACTTGCTGGGTACATTGTGCATCCGTCCCGGAAGGAACGTGATATTTCCGAAGATGTCCGAACTTGGTGTTTTCTGTAGCATCAATCACCGCTCCCCACTTGACATGCATATTCTGGTAGAGCTCATCGAATCTCGAAGGGATCAGGGAGCTCTGCGTGAATTCAACATTACGTGGCGAGGGGGAGTTGTGAAGTATGATGCCGATACACGTAGCCAATGGCAAAAACTTTGTGCGCCAGGGGGAGGAATACAAATCTCAGCATCCATCAAAGGTGGCGTAATTTTTCTTATCCTGTTGCTTCCCACTGAAAGATTCGCAGGCCTTGATGTGAACTGATTGTCCGCATTTTGGGGGGAAAGTCTGTATTGTTCCGGCTACATATGTTCATATATCATCGATGAGTCGAACTTCACCTTTACGATCTTCCTTTACTCCATTATTTTTGGCGTTTCTCAGTCTGATTTTGGGGGGAATTTTTACGAATTACTAGTCTGATGCCATGTCGTCCGCGGCAACCTGGACTCTGTCAAGTTCCAAATACTATAATTGCTCATGCAGTAGAGTCGATAGCTGAAGTATCATCTTACCTATTTTATTGTGTATAAAGACATACAGCAGTTTGTCTAAGACCTTCATGTCGTGCCCGAGACAGTCCCAATTCAGCTATTCAGCCATCTTCGGTTGTCCGCGTCGATCGATACGTGGATTGAGAACAAGGGAAGGCTACTTCGGCAGGTACGTACCTACAAACATATTACCAACCGTTCGTGCTGTTTCAAGATACTGGGAACATATCAGCCTCTACCTCAAATACCGTTCCCACTCGGCAGAGTGCCATGTTAAAAGTCTGTTTGAACATATCCTTTTGTGCATGCAGACAAAGCGGCAAAGGATGTGCATAGCAGGAGAGAGACAGTGGGTCAGTGGAAGGAAA